ATACCAAAGGCTGCGGTTGCCTAGAAAGGCAGGCAGGCCATATGCTGGACCTTGAGACAGGCGGCCCTCCGCTGACTAAGCAGCAGCTAAAGGCCCTTCCAGGGAGGAGGACAAGTCTGGGCAGAGGCAGAGGCAGAGGCAGTGCTGTGACCAAGGGGGTGTGGAGAGGTGAGTCTCTAAAGAGGAGCTCGTGAGAAATCAAAAAGTGATTCTCACACATTTGTTTCATTTATCCACTCAACCAACAAGTGAGACAGGCATACTCTTATCAGCCTCATTCTATAAATGTGAAAATGTCTTTCCATCAACCACCCCTCAGCACTGAGCACCCACTATGTGCCAGGCTCTGGAAATAAAAGAGAAGACCCAGTCACTGTCTTTGAGAGACTCGTACCCTGATTGGAGAAAGAGGCCAATAAGTAAGCAGTCACAATACCTAGTAACACGGGCTATTGTCGTGGAATTAGGGCACTCTGAGACAAGCAAGGGGACCCAGTAGCCCAGTCTTAGCAAGGCTTTCCAGAAGTGTGACAACTAAGCAGGAACCCAAAGGATAAGTTACTTAAAGTTGAGGAGGCAAGGCAAGAGGAGCAGAAATCAGCAAGCTGTGCCCTAGGAGAGGACACGTGCATCCCACAGTTTCACACAGACGGCATGGATGTCCAGGAAACTGAAATTAGTTCCCAGTGACCAATGCAACTATAGTTTAAGAGGAAAAGTGGCAAAAGAGGAAGCCAAAGCACTGGGCAGAGGTTCAGTCATACAGGACCTTGGGCACCAGCAACAAAAGGGAGTCATTCAAGGATTTCCAAGGGGGAGAAAAAGGTGGGGATTTGTGCTTCAGAAAGAACAAGAAGTTTTGTGATGAATAATTGGCACATCATTACCATTTGGGTTTATTTGAGAGAAGGAAAAAATATTTTCCAGTTGCTAAGCTGTGAAGGCAAGATAAATTACAGGAGATGTGAAAAAAGTTTGCCATACAGACTGTAATTTTCTGTCATTCAATATTAGCTTGCTTGTTCAAATATCAACCAAACTCTATAACCAATTAATTAAATTCAGAGTGCCAGATAAAGGTTTTTGGTTTGTTTTTTTTAATGCCAGAGAGGCATTTTCTACCTAGCTCAAACGTATTTGGTCCCAAAAATAGGAGGAGAAAAGAGGAAAGCATGAAATTAAGGTTAGTATCATTAAATTTCCCAAAGACTGAGAGTATACAAAGTTTTTAAAATAAGACACAAAAAGTAACATTTTTAAAAGAAAAAAAATGATTAGGTGAACCATATTAAGAACTTCTGTTCATCTAAAGATACCACTAAGAGGGTAAAGGCAAACAAACCACAGAGTGGGAGAAGACAGTTACACCACATACTTCCAACAAAGAATTCATACCCAGAATATATATAAAGAAATCTTACAAGTCAGGAGGGAAAGTAATGGGGAGAGAAAGACAGCAACAGAGAATGAGAGAGAGAAAAGACACACAGTGGAAAAGGAAAAAGAAAGGCAAAGGGCTTGTACAAAAGAGGATATCCAAGTGGCAGAAAACACATGAAAGGTGCTAAACTTCATTGGTCATCAGAGAAATGCAAATTGAAACGCAATGCTACACCACTACACTCCTCTCTCACCACCAGAATGGATAACATGATTGCAAATACCAAGTAAAAATAGGTGAAATGAATTTATGTCATTAGAAGTCAAACGGTGGTAGCCCTAGGCAGAGAAGTGCGTAGATACTTGATGCACACAATTTTAATCCTCATGACAACTCTGCAAAATGGTGGTGTCTATAGCAACAGCAATAGTTGTAGTGGCGATGGTGGCAGTGGAGGAGATGGTGGAGGTGGCAGTGATAGTGATGGTAGTGATAGAGGTGGTAGAGGTAGCAGTGATAGTGGTGACAATGGTGGTGGTGAAGGTGAGGAGAGTGGTGATGATGGTGGTGGTGGGGGGGGTGATGGGGTGATGGGATGGTGGGATGGTGGGATGGTGGTGATGGTGGTGATGGTGGTGGTGGTGGTGGTGGTCACGGTGATAGTATGATGGTGGTGATGATCGCGGTGGTGATCGTGGTGATGATGGTGGCAGTAGTGGCAATAGTAGTAATAATAGCAGCTAAAAAATCTGAGTATTTATTATACACCAAGAACTATTCCAAGTACTTTACATATATTATCTTATTTAATTCGTAGAATAACCCTATGATGAAGGTACCGTTAAATATTATTAGCATTATTTTACAGAATAGGAAAATGGCAGGAGAGGTTAAATTACTTGCCCAAGAGAATACACAGCTAGGAAGTGACAGCAGGGATTTGAACAGATGCAACATTTCCCAAAGTGGAAAAGGAAGCATGATAAAGAGGGTCACTGTGAAATGGGCTGACAGCACGAGACAGAAGTGCCCTCCTCAGAAGCCCAAGTCCTCTGAACTCAAGACCCCAATTCTGTAGGCAGGGCCTCTCCTCTGAGGTCTGAATTTCCACTCCTGGGTACTTTCTCTGGGCTTTCCTCATTTCAGCCTCTTCCCATGTTCTCCTAGCCTCCGGGCAGTGGCTTCTTCCTCTCCTTGCTACCTCCATGTTACCTTAGAGTTATCTTTTTACCCTTCAATCATCCAAACACTTTGTATCTAGCGGGCAATTGTTCACATTCCTTCTTTCTATCCCATCATCTGGTGTGACTTGTCCCCTGCCTAGCCCCACATGACATGAGGAGGGGCCTAGCACTTGGCAGTTGCGACTGGCTGTGGCTGAGCTGCATTTCCACCAGTCCCCTTGGCCCAGAGCAGGCCTCCCTGGGTTTTTATTGCTCGAAAGGTGGGTGAGACTCACAGTGAAGCTGTTCACACACCTGTGAGCTCCATCAGCTCCTTCCCTTGCCCATCCCTTGCTTCACCTCTCCTGGCCAACGGCCTGGCACAGAAAGGGAACCCCACAGCACCCCCACTGCTCTGGGGCTTGCCCAGGCCCCTTCACATGCTCCCACCATTTGGGTACTCTGGGGTACTGTGTTGCCCATTCTTGGTGAAAACCTTTTCCTGACAATGTCCTACAAGAGTGCAGCTTCTACTCTCCTCCTCCCTCGCTCTGACCCAGCTTCCACATCTCTTGCAGCCATACTTCAGTGTTTGGGGTAGAAATAATTTCCTTGCTTCACAGGGAATGGTTTTATTTTTATTATCCTTTATACTTTGTAATTTGGGGGAGATTTCAGGAGAAAGAGTAGAATAAAAATGCTACTCTTTCGCCATCTTTGAACAGAAACCACGCTATGTTGACAACTGCCAGTGGGTCCTGCACATGGCCACCTCCCTGCAAGCTCCTTGGGACTGAAATGAAGCCCTAGCTGAGTGCAAGAACCACTCCTAGGGGGCAGCATGAAGGGAGAAATCCATCTGACTTTCATTTTTAATAATTATTTAGCATAAACAATTTGCCACTTATGGCCTCACTAATAAGAAATATTATATGTATGTATACGTATGTGTGTATGTGCATACATATTGGTTCCATATTGTGTGATCAGCACTGAAAGGAAAAAGGGAAGAAAACATCACAAAGAAGGGAAGGATTCAAGACCAGAAAAAATAAAATTAACATGTCCTGCCAACCTACAGCTGACTTCCTATTCCGTCCCCACTACCTATCTGGGCACACCCAACTCCCCCTCTGCCCCCAGCAAGATCAAGAGCAGATAAGGTCTTCTCTGCAGCAGCTGCTCAGTTGCTCCAACTCCACAACGCCCTACACAGGTCACTACAACAGTAAGTCTCAATTACTCCCCAGTGCAAGGATCCTTCCAGGGGAGACGCAGACAGGGAGAACAGGCTAGAAGAGAATGTGGATATGGAGATACATGCTTTACCTCCCCCACACACAGATTGCCATCAAAATCAGTGGGAGAAATGTGAGAATACAAGATACCCTGAAATTCTCCAGAGTGGTAGAAGCTCAAATTAACCCTTTCTTATACACTCCAAACTCGTCCTCTCATGACATAATTCTTTGCATGAAATTCTCCCAAAGTTATCCCTGGACCTTCCCTCAAGCCAGAACTAACCAGATGGACTGTGTCTCTACCTCTAATTAACTTAGTTTTTCCTATTATAATGTTATTAGCATGAGGAGGGAGCCCTCTGCCAGGGAGTAACAACATCCTTTACTAGAAACTTAACCAGAACCAGTCGAACTCCCACTGTATGCCTGGTTCACCTCACTCACTCCTATGTCAAAAACATGTAAAATGCCCCAAAGTTCTGCCAGCTTGCTTTCCCTCTTTTTCATTGTCTGGTCTCACTGGTCTGTATAATTTCTCTAACTTTATTAAATTACCTGGTTTTATTTCCATGTATTACTCTGGATACCTTTCCCTCCTCCTACATAATATATTCTTTACTCACTTCTAACACACTTGGTATTCTACTATTCTGCCATACACTAGCTCATTTCACTCTTATGACAACTGTACGTGGTAAGTACTACCTCCCCTAATCACCCATGAGGAAATCGAGGCACATAACAACACCTTCCCAAGGACAAACAGTAAGTGGTCAAAATTTCAACACAGGTCTTAGGACCCCAAGCTACATGTGCCTTAGCACTGGAAAACACATGGCCGGCCCTGAAGAGGGAGCTCTGAGTGTTGAGGCTGCTGAGAAGCCTGGGCTGGACGCATTTCGGGGTGGGTCCCAAACAGAATGTTTCAGAGCCTGCTAACGTTTCTCTCTCATTCTTTCATTCAAGAAGTAGTTTTGCTGAGGATCTGATCAATGTTCAGACCCGGGAAAGAGCACAGGGGATACTACAGTACATGCTTTGTCGAGTTATCTTTTGTGTGTTCTTCGTGAATAACTGGTTTGCCACTGTCATGATGGCACCAAATTAAAAGTGGAAGAAGCTTTTAGATTTTCTGAACACTGGCTATTTAAAGTATCTCTTCTGCAAGTAAACGACACAAACATTCCCAGGGTCAAAACTGCTTAAAATACCTACCTTTGGTGGTGAGGATTTTTGAGGTGACTTCCAGTTTCTCCAATGGTTCCATTCCAATATTTTCCAGTTGAACGATAAGTTGCTGAGTTTCTCCATTGTAAAGCTGGACAGATACATTAGTAGATATTTCATCACCGGAAGAGGGTTGCAATGAATGTGCAGATCTAAAATAACAGTAATATAACAATAATAAATCTAAAGAAGAGAGAAGAAACCAATGGCATTTTAGAATTATTCAATCAGATAAAAGGATCACCACACTTACACGTCTCAGAACAGGGGCTAGGAAAGCTTGGCTTTAAATGTGCAATTCAGTGCTGAGCTATCAAGAACAGATAGTGAATTGCCACGTGCCGGGTGCTTCCCACACGCAGCCACATCTGGGTCTTTGCATGTTAGAAACACGATCACCTTCACTCAACCTTAGTCTCTCATGTGTATTGTGAAGCATGGAAACACTTAATTACTGAATTATGGAGGGGAAAAATTAAACAATGAATTAATTCAAACGAACCATCAGAGTGTTGTTCTCTAAAAATCTAAAAGATGTCAGAATTGCCTTGAGAAAATCCATAGATTTAAGAAGAAAACTTATATGAACCTGTCTAACTGATAACACGAGAACTAAGGTCAAAGAGAAATGAAAAATACATACAACAGACTCCACCATACAGGTCAAAACTATGAGCAATGCCCGCCGACACCCAGCCAGACACGGGGCAGCTCAGCCACGCGTTGGGGTCAGACCCCGTGTCCGTGGGGCTCCATCCACATGCCAGGCAGTGGAGGTCCTATACTAGGGGACAGGCCAAGCAGCCAACCCTCCATGGAAGTGCAGCCCCGAGGCTGAGGCCCTCCTCTGAGGCTCCTGCACTACAGTTCTCGGTCTATCAGCTCTCACCTGAGGTCTACTGACTCCAGCTGATTGCACAAAGACAATTATCCTGGTTGTCTCCATCTCAACCCACAGGCAGCAAACAGACTTCCAGGCAAGGTCACTGGTGACCACAGGGAAAGGGCTATTCTTAGCACAGCAGGGACAAAAGTCAGCAGAGAACGAAAAGAGGTGTGTGTAGTAGGTGTGGTTAAAATGTACACACAAATCTCAAGAGAAGTCTAGCCACAAAAGAAAGGGGGAGCTACAGTCAACACATCTTCCTGGGACCAGAAAGGTTTACTGAGCACCCCACTATCTTCTCCCCAAACCGAAAGGATTTCCAGAGACAGCCGCATTAGTCTAATCTGTATGAGCCAATACTGTGCTTCACTGAACCAGAAATGGGTTACGAAACCCACTAAGTAGACTCCAGGCTATGCCACCCCAGCCAATACCCAGTAGCCTTTCCAACAACCAGTTCCTTCTAGCTGTGATCCTGGCCGCAGCACCAAGGATCAGACTCAGGGCCAAGTGCTGTTTCTCAAGCAATAGGACAGGTTTGTGTCCCCACACTATTTGGTTCAAAGGACAGAAAAGAATGTTCCAGACAGTGATGGTCTCACACTTATGCTAGTCAAAGAAAGAAACGATGCTTAAAACAAGTCAGTCTTATCGAGCCAGTCACACTTCCTGGGGGCTTCTGGTTCCAGACTCTGATAGAGGAACATTTATATCGAAACCAAATTTTCATAAAATAATAGTATAATGAATCAAGGTGAATTCCTTTGCATTTAAATATCTTTAATGTTGTTCATGAGTCAAGAAATAAACTTCCTCTTGTCAAAGAAGGAAAACTGACTCATGCCCTCACCATAAATTACTTCTTCCCGTCTTTTAATAGGCCATCCTTCTCAAGCAATGTGCAATGTGGATTTGCAGAGAAGGCACCAGGAAAAAAATAAAATACATCCAAGACTAATTACTTTGTGTCTCAAACAACAGGGTGCCAAGGCCCTCTGGAACTGTGGAGAAAGAAAGGAGGAGGAAAGTCCTCAGAGTGGAGGAACCATTCAGCCACAGGGCCCCACCCTGACACAGGTAGCTGACTGTCCCACAGTACAGCATCCCAGCTGCTGTGGGCACCCCTCTGTGCGGCTCCACCCTCCCCACCCCTGCACTGAACTAAAAGCTTTTTCAAGGTAGGGACAATATGTTTATTTCTGCACTACCAGCTCCGACCTAACCAGATACCCGGCACATAATAGGTACTCACTAAACAGGTACTGAAGAAATTAATTAGCAACTCAAATTTGAACCACCTGTACAACACAGAAAGACATCCTGGCAGTAATTGACACAGGCCCAGGACAGAGTGACCCATTGCATGCTTAATGGCTGCCTCCTAGGAGCCTTGCCCTGTGCAGCATGTCTCAACACGGGCAGCCAGGCCACAGAGAAGGCAGGACAACGCTTCTCCACAGGAGACACCATCAGGCCACCTGCCCCTGACTACCACCCTTCCCTGCACACCCCCCACCCTGCCTTCCCCTTGTTCCCCGTCACAGCTGGCTGCCTGCAGGCCTTAGCTTCTCTGCACATTTCCTCTGCAGAGCCCTTTCTAGAGAAAATGCCTGCCAAGCAGGAATTGCCATCTCACCCTGCTTTGAAAAGTAATCTGCCTTCTGTCTCCATAGATGGGCCTTTTCTGGACATTTCATCTTACCCTGCTTTGTTTTTGGTCACAGCATTTAATTCTACTTCATAATGGTCCATCCTTGTTTGTTGAGTTGACTGGCTGTTCCCTCCTCTTTGCATGTTTTTCTTGCTTGATTATCCAGCCAATGTTTATGAATCTCAAAAGGCCCCACTTGAGTATCACATTCTCTAGGAAGCCTTCCTGAACCCCAAAAGAGAGAGTCAACCTCTCCCTTCCTGTTTTCATATTACAGGAGCAGTGAGCAAATTTAGTTAGACTACAGTTACTCTACCTCCCCTCCAGACTATGAGCTCATATAAGGGATGAGGCCTCAGTCAAGGGCACTTTTTATCAATTGCTAGTCCTAGAGCACAAGGCATGTGCTCTAAAGCATGTGGTAGGTGTCGATGTTTGTGAGTGAATTTGATGAATCAGTGACAAGGATGCTTATATTAGATTAATTACAATCAAAACTCAAAGAAGAGTCACTTTTTATTTCAGAAAAATCACCTTAGAAAATATATATATTACATATAATTTTTTTAAATAAGAAATAAAAAACAAACATTTTAACTCTAAATCAGTTCCATGACACTGGGCCCTCCCTCCCACAGCACCTGGTCTCTCATGGCGGAATAAACCCCAGCAAGGCTGTGCTAGGATCCACGCTCCTCCGAGCTGTGGGGAAGCCAGCCCTGGCACAGGTCTTCTCATGGGAGGAAACAGACACCAGGGAGGATGAGTGCAGCACTCACCAAAGCACATTCACAAGACAATAAAAAATGGGGAAGGACAGACATTATCTCTGGAACCTATTCTAGAAGCAGGAGGAAAATGAGGGAGGAAAAGCGCACTACCTGAAGAGCTGTTTTATTCACCACCTTGCACACCTGAGGAGATGACCTTCAAGACGGTTACTAGCAGGACAAATGACAAAGTTGCCTTTTCCCAAAATATTTTCCCTTTGTGGTAATAGCCCTTCCACTTAGTGCCTTTTCCCTTCAGCCAGCCCCACCCTCTCACGGGACTGCTGACGGAGGGGTGCCGAGTGCGGAGCTGGCGGGCCACCGCCTCCTTTACCGGATCTCCATCGCACACCTCCAGCTTTCGTCCAGGTGGTTGGTGCTCTGTTCAAGCCTTAAAACCACGTGCCAAGGCCAGTGTCCTTCATACCCTAACACCCACCGGGTGCCACAGTACTACAGAAAGCAGTGGCAGGTTTGGCAGGCAAAGCCTGAGCTGGGAGTCTGCAAATTTGGCTGTTCAAGCCAGTGTGCTCAGAGGCGTCCCTGCCCAGGGAGCTCTGGTTTCTTCACGCCCATAACAAAGACAAGAAAGAATCTCCTCCTGAGGCTTCTGTGGCCTCAGCTGAAATCATGCATCTATCCTACACTGAAGCCAAACCAAAATTCATTTTTCTAAACAGCTTATTTGAGGTATATGCAATTTACATACCACAAAATTCACCCATTTTAAAGTGCATAATTCAATTATTTTTTAATAAATTTACAAAGCCACACAACCATCACTGATGGCAGTTTTAAAACATTTCCAGCACTCCAAAGAGATGCCTGAGGTGCACTTGCAATCAATCCCTGCTCTCACTTCTAGCCCTCGGCCACCGCTGAGCTGCATTCTGTCTCCGTGGACCTGCCTTTTCTGCACACTTCACATCTAAAGAACCACGTGCTATATGGCCTTTTGTATCTGGCTTCTTTCACTTAGCAAAATGTTTCCTAGGTTCATCTGGAGCACGTATCCGTTCACGCCTTTTGATTGCTGAGTAGTATTCCACTGTATGGATGTACCACTTTAGTTTATCCAGTCATCAGCTGATGGACATTTGGGCCCTTTCTACTTTTTCATTCTGAACGATGCTGCTACGAACATTCATGTGCATGTTGTGTCAATATATGTTTTCATTTGTCTTGACTAGATACTTAGGAGTGGAATTGTTGGGTCATATGGTAAATTTATGTTTGGCTTTTTAAGAAACTGCCAAAGAGTCTTGAAAACGGATGTACCATTTTACATTCCTTTGAGCAGTGCATGAGGGTTCCAGTTTCTCCACTGCCTTGCAACCCTGCTACTGTCTGTCTTTTGATTACAAGCCACCACAGGAGGTATGAACTAGAATCTCATGCGGTACCAGTTCCGCAAAGACTAATGATGTTGAACATTCTTCCAGACAGCTTATTAGCTATTTGAATATCTTTTGTGGTGAAACAGCTATTCAAATCTTCTGGCAATTTTTTAAGTAGGTTGTTTGTCTTCTTAAGTTTTAAGAGTTCTTTATATGAACACCAGCTATTTATCAGATATATGACGTGCAAATATTTTCTTCCAGTCTGTGACTTCTCTTTCATTTTCTTAATGGTGTCTTTGGAAGCATAGAAGTTTTTAATTTTGATGAAGTCCAATTTATCAACATCTTATTTTATGGATCCTGGTTTTGGTGTCACATCAAAGAATTCTTTGTCTGAGCCAAGGTCATGAAAATTGTCTCCCATTTTATTCTAAAAGTGTTACATTTCTAGCTCTTACACTCAGGTCTACGACCTCTTTTGAGTAAATGCTTTCTGCGTTTCACTTTATTCCTAAGCCATGCCATTTTCTCCCCGCTCCCTCCTTCGTCAGAAAATTGCTCCTGCCTGCCTATCCCGCACAGCTCATTCCTCCTCCCACTCCTTGTGCTACACTCTTGATTTCACCTCCGTGAAGAAATCTTCTCTAAGCCTCCTGTGACCTTCCCCAGCACATGGGACCTCCCCATCAACAGTGCACTGTGATTATTTGGCTACTTGTCAATCTCTCCCACTTGACAGAACTTCTTGTGAGGACAGAGGACTATTGTGGTCACAGTTACAGTCCTAGCACCTTGCACAGTGCCTGGCAAATGAAAAGGATCCATTAAACAAATGAACGTGCTTTAAAAACATTTCAGAAAATCTCAAGATACATTTTACAAAAATGGCCAAAAGGATATCCATTAAGTATTATCCATAAAAGCCAAAATTGAAAATATCCCAAATTCCAATAGCAAGGAAATTAATGGGTATGCAATTTTGAGATATATTTATGATGTACTTTTTTCTTTTTGAGACAGAGCCTCACTCTGTCACCCTGCATAGAGTGCAGTGACATCATCATAGCTCGCTGCAACCTCAAGCTCCTGGGCTTAAGCGATCCTCCTGCCTGAGCCTCCCAAGTAGCTGGGACTACAGGCACTGTGCCCAGCTATGATGTACTTTTTTGAGACATTTAAAATTGAATTTTTTCAAGAATTTGTAAGAGCGTGAAGAAAAACTTACGTGGTTATACAAAAAGTAATCTATGATACCATATAAGATGTAGTATACTCTCAACTATTCAAATTGGTACTTTAAAAACAGGATGGGGGCCAGGCACAGTGGCTCATGCCTGTAATCCTAGCACTCTGGGAGGCCAAGGCGGGAGGATCACTTGAGCTCAGGAGTTCAAGACCAGACTGAGCAAGAGCAAGACTCTGTACCTATTAAAAAATAGAAAAAATTAGCTGGGCAACTAAAAATAGAAAAAATTAGCCAAGTGTGGTGGTGCATGCCTGTAGTCCCAGTTACTCGGGAGGCTGAGGCAGGAGGATCACTTGAGCCCAGGAATTGGAGGTTGCTGTGAGCTAGGGTGATGCCACAGCACTCACCAGGGCAACAGAGTGATACTCTGTCTCAAAAAAAGAGAAAAAAGAAAAAGGGAAAAAACTAATTAATTAAGGTGGTGCATGCCTGTAGTCCCAGCTACTCGGGAGG